GAGTAAATTTGCAAATGTAAATTACGGAAGAAAAGTAGGGTTTTCCGAATATCTCATTGTAAAATAAACTTTGGAAGTGTCAAAGTAATCATGAGTCTTTCCTTGGGGTATTTGTTCGTCAAAACACATTGCCAGAGTCATTGTTGCTGTCATGGCAGAAGCACTCGGAGAAAGCTTTTCGCTGGAAGAATTGGAAACGATATGTTCATGTCGTATGGGTATTTTTTGCTCAAGCGCGTGCCACGAAGAGGACTTTGAATCATGTATGAACAATAGAAGGACAGATTGAGTTTATCTAGTTTATATGCACTGTTCGTTATAAACGTGCTTCACATGTAATCTTATTGTATTGGTTCATTAGTTTATATATGTTTCGTTAGTTTATACGCAAAAAAATGGCCTGAGCAATGGTTCATTTGAGAATATGTAATGTTGTTCACTGTGATAGTTCACTCAAAGGATAATGATTATCTAACAATAGCTGGGTAAACTTTGTTTACATATTTTGATACTTTGCCTGCCAAGAGTATATGCAGACATACATTATTTGCTCTAGAGCTTATACAGCATCAGCCAGCAGCATTTGTCAATTTGGTAAATGGTGAATTGCCAGGTGAACCGCTTCAACCAGACCCAGCTATGAAAACCCAGAAAATGCCTCAGAGTATTGCAAATGTGGATGGTGTGTTGCAATGCCAACACAATCTGCTAGATTGTAAATATTTGTTGCACATGTTTTTATTATGTTATTGATCATTGAGGAAACTTTATTATTCATTAATCAATTTTACTGCAATTATCTCCCCATGACAGGGAGGATCATTTTAAATATTTTGACAGAACATGGGTAATTCACACCTGTTAAGGCCCGTTCACACAAGGATTTTAAACTTTGATTTTCTCCTTTTGGCATATGTGTTTTAGCAAAATTACAGGAAACATTACTTTGCGTGGCTTGATTATTCACTCTAACACATACACCAAAAGTAGACAATTGCAGTTCAAAATTGCTTCAAACTTATTTTAAGCTTTCTCTGTCTACTAACCACAGCAAATTTTGCTGACAAATGAAAGACTTTATCATGTCAATGGGTTAAATCTTTTATGAACAGTAATATTTCATTTTATAAAAGACAAGTTATCAAATGCATTGGATGTTCAAGCACAACATTTGGTATTGACATTGATTTTTTTATTCTTTAAAATTACTCCTTGCTCCTTACTTCAGTCCTGAAAAGTGTATTGCTGTGCACCGAAGATCAATGAATCCAATATGGACAGCCTGACTCACTATTTGGGTCCGGGAGTTTGTAATCAGAGTTCCTTCTCCTAGGTGGACTGCCTTTCAGGGATTACAAGCTCCACCTAACCAGAGCACTTTGTTTTAAGTGCCAGACACTTGTCTACAGGGCACAATAAAGTTTTGTAATGAGGAAACAATTCGCAAACGCTCGTCACTTTTGATTCCAGCTTCAGTTTTGAAATGATTTCACCGACCAATAGCATCATTAAAGTACATTTTCGTTAAATACCTTTTCGCGAAATGTTCTTTTTGATTTCCTGGTTGGTTTTGGCGACCAGCATTAGAAGGATTTGTCTTTGAAGTGGACAGCTCTATTATAGAACTCTTGCGAGTGGAAGAAAAGTAGGGTTTCCTAATATCTTGCACTCCCCGACGGGGAATCGAACCACGGTCTCCCGCGTGACAGGCGGGGATACTCACCACTATCCTACCGAGGATTACTGATCGTCACTGCTAATATTGTCACCTTACCCTTGGAGTAAATTTGCAAATGTAAATTAAGGAAGAAAATTAGGGTTTTCCTAATATCTTGCATTCCCCGGCGGGGAATCGAACCCCGGTCTCCCGCGTGACAGGCGGGAATACTCACCACTATCCTACCGACGATTACTGATCGTCACTGCTAATATTGTCACTTTACTCTTGGAGTAAATTTGCAAATGTAAATTACGGAAGAAAAGTAGGGTTTTCCTAATATCTTGCACTCCCCGGCGGGGAATCGAACCCCGGTCTCCCGCGTGACAGGCGGGGATACTCACCACTATACTACCGAGGATTACTGATCGTCACTGCTAATATTGTCACCTTACTCTTGGAGTAAATTTGCAAATGTAAATTACGGAAGAAAAGTAGGGTTTTCCTAATATCTTGCACTCCCCGGCGGGGAATCGAACCCCGGTCTCCCGCGTGACAGGCGGGGATACTCACCACTATACTACCGAGGATTACTGATCGTCATTGCTAATATTGTCACCTTACCCTTCGAGTAAATTTGCAAATGTAAATTACGGAAGAAAAGTAGGGTTTTCCTAATATCTTGCACTCCCCGGCGGGGAATCGAACCCCGGTCTCCCGCGTGACAGGCGGGGATACTCACCACTATACTACCGAGGATTACTGATCGTCACTGCTAATATTGTCACCTTACCCTTGGAGTAAATTTGCAAATGTAAATTAAGGAAGAAAAGTAGGGTTTTCCTAATATCTTGCACTCCCCGGCGGGGAATCGAACCCCGGTCTCCCGCGTGACAGGCGGGGATACTCACCACTATACTACCGAGGATTACTGATCGTCACTGCTAATATTGTCACCTTACCCTTGGAGTAAATTTGCAAATGTAAATTAAGGAAGAAAAGTAGTGTTTTCCTAATATCTTGCACTCCCCAGCGGGGAATCGAAACGCGGTCCCCGCGTGACAGGCGGGGATACTCACGACTATACTACCGAGGATTATTGATCGTCACTGCTAATATTGTCACCTTACCCTTGGAGTAAATTTGCAAATGTAAATTACGGAAGACAATTAGGGTTTTCCTAATTTCTTGCACTCCCCGGCGGGGAATCGAACCCCGGTCTCCCGCGTGACAGGCGGGAATACTCACCACTATCCTACCGACGATTACTGATCGTCACTGCTAATATTGTCACCTTACTCTTGGAGTAAATTTGCAAATGTAAATTACGGAAAAAAATTAGGGTTTTCCTAATTGCTTGCACTCCCCGTCGGGGAATCGAACCCCGGTCTCCCGCGTGACAGGCGGGGATACTCACCACTATACTACCGAGGATTACTGATCGTCATTGCTAATATTGTCACCTTACCCTTGGAGTAAATTTGCAAATGTAAATTACGGAAGAAAAGTAGGGTTTTCCTAATATCTTGCACTCCCCGGCGGGGAATCGAACCCCGGTCTCCCGCGTGACAGGCGGGGATACTCACCACTATACTACCGAGGATTACTGATCGTCACTGCTAATATTGTCACCTTACCCTTGGAGTAAATTTGCAAATGTAAATTAAGGAAGAAAAGTAGTGTTTTCCTAATATCTTGCACTCCCCGGCGGGGAATCGAACCCCGGTGTCCCGCGTGACAGGCGGGGATACTCACCACTATACTACCGAGGATTACTGATCGTCATTGCTAATATTGTCACCTTACCCTTGGAGTAAATTTGCAAATGTAAATTACGGAAGAAAAGTAGGGTTTTCCTAATATCTTGCACTGCCCGGCGGGGAATCGAACCCCGGTCTCCCGCGTGACAGGCGGCGATACTCACCACTATACTACCGAGGATTACTGATCGTCACTGCTAATATTGTCACCTTACCCTTGGAGTAAATTTGCAAATGTAAATTACGGAAGAAAAGTAGGGTTTCCCTAATATCTTGCACTCCCCGGCGGGGAATCGAACCCCGGTCTCCCGCGTGACAGGCGGGGATACTCACCACTATACTACCGAGGATTATTGATCGTCACTGCTAATATTGTCACCTTACCCTTGGAGTAAATTTGCAAACGTAAATTACGGAAGAAAAGTAGGGTTTTCCTAATATCTTGCACTCCCCGGCGGGGAATCGAACCCCGGTCTCCCGCGTGACAGGCGGGGATACTCACCACTATCCTACCGACGATTACTGATCGTCACTGCTAATATTGTCACCTTACTCTTGGAGTAAATTTGCAAATGTAAATTACGGAAGAAAATTAGGGTTTTCTTAATTTCTTGCACTCCCCGGGGGGAATCGAACCCCGGTCTCCCGCGTGACAGGCGGCGATACTCACCACTATACTACCGAGGATTACTGATCGTCACTGCTAATATTGTCACCTTACCCTTGGAGTAAATTTGCAAATGTAAATTACGGAAGAAAAGTAGGGTTTCCCTAATAACTTGCACTCCCCGGCGGGGAATCGAACCCCGGTCTCCCGCGTGACAGGCGGGGATACTCACCACTATACTACCGAGGATTATTTATCGTCACTGCTAATATTGTCACCTTACCCTTGGAGTAAATTTGCAAATGTAAATTACGGAAGAAAATTAGGGTTTTCCTAATTTCTTGCACTCCCCGGCGGGGAATCGAACCCCGGTCTCCCGCGTGACAGGCGGGGATACTCACCACTATCCTTGCGAGGATTACTGATCGTTACTGCTAATATTGTCACCTTACTCTTGGAGTAAATTTGCAAATGTAAATTACGGAAGAAAAGTAGGGTTTTCCTAATATCTTGCACCACCCGGCGGGGAATCGAACCCCGGTCTCCCGCGTGACAGGGGGGGATACTCAACACTATACTACCGAGGATTACTGATCTTCGCTGCTAGTACTGTTGCTACCTTACTGTTGGAGTGAATTTGCAAATGTAAATTACGGAAGAAAAGTAGGGTTTTCCTAATTTCTTGCACTCCCCGGCGGGGAATCGACCCCTTGTCTCCCGCGTGACAGGCGGGGATACTCACTACTATCCTACCGAGGATTACTGATCGTCACTGCTAATATTGTCACCTTACTCTTGGATTAAATTTGCAAATGTAAATTACAGAAGAAAACTAGGGTTTTCCTAACATCCCGCGTGGCAGGCGGGGATACTCACCACTATCCTACCGGGGATTACTGATCGTCACTGCTAATATTGTCACCTTACTCTTGGAGTAAATTTGTGAATGTAAATTACGGAAGAAAACTAGGGGTTTCCTAATATCTTGCACTCCCCGGCGTGGAATCGAACCCCGGTCTTCCGCGTGACAGGCGGGGATACTCACCACTATCCTACCGAGGATTACTGATCGTCACTGCTAATATTGTCACCTTACTCTTGAAGTAAATTTGCAAATGTAAATTAAGAAAGAAAACTAGAATTGTTTCGAATATTTTGCACTCCCCGGCGGGGAATCGAACGCCGGTCTCCCGCGTGACAGGCGGGGATACTCACCACAATCCTACCGAGGATTACTGATCGTCACTGCTAATATTGTCACCTTACACTTGGAGTAAATTTGCTAATGTAAATTACGGAAGAAATGTAGGGTTTTCCTAATTTCTTGCACTCCCCGGCGGGGAATCGAACCCCGGTCTCCCGCGTGACAGGCGTTGACACTCACCACTATCCTACTGAGGATTACTGATCTTCACTGCTAGTGCTCTTGTAACCTTACTGTTGGAGTGAATTGGGAAATGTTAATTATGGAAGAAAGCTAGGGTTTTCCTAATAGCTTGCACTCCCCGGCGGGAAATCGAACGCCGGTCTTTCGCGTGACAGGCGGGGATACTCACCACTATCCTACCGAGGATTACTGATCGTCACTGCTATTATTGTCACCTTACTCTTGGAGTAAATTTGGAAATGTAAATTACGGAAGAAAACTAGGGTTTTCCTAATATCTTGCACTCCCCGGTGGGGAATCGAACCCCAGTCTCCCGGGTGACAGGCCGGGATACTCACCACTTTGCTACCGAGGATTACTGATCGTCACTGCTAATATTGTCACCTTACTCTTGGAGTAAATTTGCTAATGTAAATTACGGAAGAAAAGTATGGTTTTCCTAATTTCTTGCACTCCCCGGCGGGGAATCGAACCCCGGTCTCCCGCGTGACAGGCGTTGACAGTCGCCACTATCCTACCGAGGATTACTGATCGTCACTGCTAGTGCTGTTGTTACCTTACTGTTGGAGTGAATTGGGAAATGTTAATTATGAAAGAAAGCTAGGGTTTTCCTAATATCTTGCACTCCCCGGCGGGGAATCGAACCCCGGTCTTTCGCGTGACAGGCGGGGACACTCACCACTATTCTACCGAGGATTACTGATAGGTAACTGCTAATATTGTTACCTTACTCTTGGAATGAATTTGGAAAAGTAATTTAAGAAAGAAAACTAGAGTTGTTGCAAATATCTTGCACTCCCGGGGGGGGAATCGAACCCCGGCCTCCCGCGTAACAGGGGGGATACTCACCACTATACTATGCTGCAAATTTGCCTACACAGCCGTACGTTTGACTTCTCATATAAACACACGGCAATAATCCAGAATGTCCGTATACCTACGCACGAAAAATGCTTAATTGGAAGGAAGACGTGCAGCATTACCTACGGCAAGCGCAATAATGAGAAAGCTTTGTTTTTCGCAAATTAAATAATTATGTTATATTGGTCGTGAGACTAAATCGCATTTATAACAAATGCTTGACAACATTGAAGGTGTTATACAAACAAATTAGCCTGAATTTCGTCTTAATGAAACCTATTTTGCATTTACAGTATAATTAGCGTGAGAGCGTGCGTGCGATTTCAAGCTTTTCCCAAAATTTATACATCATCATTGCATAAAACATTTATTTATAAGTCTACTTTTTGTTGAATGTGGCCATTTAGCACTTAGCACTTAGCACGGCAAGAGATTTAATCTACATTGCTAAAATACTGCAATTTAAACTCAAGTACGAATGATGTACTTATATCGACAGTTCTTGGTCTGTCTCCTGATCTTTAAACTAAATTTAGGAGGATCCAAAGTATTACTCAAGGTGAGTATAAAGAGTTCATTGCAGTAACGCGTGTTTTATATTTACGTACGTAGAATTATATACGGACGTAAATATTTAGAACCATTTATATGCATTCAGAGATTCCAAGGATAGTGCAAAGGTCAGAGCGAGGTAGTGCTTTTACAAACCGCCTGTCGGGAAACCCAGGGAGAAAACTAGCATTTCGTTGGTACTGTAGCTAATTATTTTTGTATGTTTTGAAATAAACGTGATTTTAATGCTGTTCTTAAGACAATTTATCCTTCCACAATGTAACCTCAAAATGCAGAAGAAAACCGTTCCAGAGACTGAAATAAACGTGATTTTAATGCTGTTCTTAAGACAATTTATCCTTCCACAATGTAACCTCAAAATGCAGAAGAAAACCGTTCCAGAGACTCAAAATTCAACAACATATTCTCAGCCCATGAAGCCTCCTAAGCCCGTGGGAAACAAGCAGAGAAAGATGCTTTTTTGCGAACAATTCGAAAAAAATAAAAAAAATTGTTAAAACAATTGTTTTGTTTCATTGGAATGTACACATTTAATTGCAAGTGCATGCTAATTATATATTTCATCTATGCAATCATATACAAAAATATTGGTCTTGTTAGGAAACGTAAATGTGCCTCTAGATCGTAAAAAGTAAATGTGAAATTGTCCTAAGATATAAATATGCCTCTAAATTGTGAAAAGTAAAAGATGTCTCAAAGGGCAGACAGAGTGTAATTTTGAGTGCAAAATGCATGATTAGTGGTTGTCTAGATAAGGATATGCGTAACCTCTGTCGTGGCGTGTCTTGCATATCTACGGCAATTCTCATTTCACGGAGCATTTTTATCGACAATCACGTGCACAACTAAAGGCTGTCGGACAAATCACATTTCACGACACAAAAAATCAAGCATTTCCGTCACATTTCACACGAACAAAGATTGACCATTCACGGCTCACGAAAATACCCTTTCCACCCTCATTATCCTGTTTTTCATCGCGTCGTTTTAGCAATTTGTCATTCGTGCTTGCACTAAAGTAACAAACGCAACTGATCTCAAATGTATACTTCGCAACAGGAATTTTATTTTAATTTCATTGTAACCATGAACCTTCAAATAAAAAACAAATACGTTTATAAAATATATTTACCGGAAAAGTATTTTCCTTTGGCCTCGGCCTCAGGAAAAATATTTCCTTCGGCCTCCGCTTCTCAGGCCTCAAGAAAAGATTTTCCCATTACGGCCTTTCCACCAGGTAAGTAAAACATATATAGTATATATTCCTGCTCGAGATTATTTGCCATCAAAACCACACATTTTGCGAGAAACTTCACAACCAAACCCTCCATTTTTCAGCGAAGAATTCTTGACTGCTAATTTCCCGATTGCGACAAATGATTGGGGTCTTGATTAATGTTTATTAACGTTTACTTCTGCTATCTTGCATGCTTTGATTTTTCTTCTACTGCAGTACGAGAAACAGGCTGGCGAAACCTGTGGTTTTGTTGTTTTTCACAATTTTTGCTGGCAGAAAGAAAGCGCCGGGGATAAATTTGGTCAGCGACGGTAGTTTTCTCACATGTTGTACATGCTGAAAATTATTAGAAGCAATAAATACAGCATTTTTCCAATATGAAGCAATCCCCACCATGTCAGAATTACAACGGAAATCGTAATTACCTGAAATATATAAGAATAAATTACATACTGTAAGCAACAGCTGGGCATTCTGTTGTCGCTGTCTAAATATTGCGGGCGCATTTCTTTAACAAACATTTTGATTCTTCGAACGCTGAAAATATGCATTGTGACAGGATTTTTTGTCCTCTTTTACTGGTTTGTTCATGAAAAATAAAGTGTTCAGGGTACAGCAGTATGGGAACGAGGAAGTGTTCATATTTTACTCTTGATAGAAGCTGAGTTGTTGTTTCCACAGGTATGTTCAATGATTTGTTTGTCCTTCTTCATCTGGAATAATAAGTGTCTTAAAACACATTTTTTGATGAAAATAACACATATTCCTCTTGCAATTTCGTAAAAACTGGCCGTTGCCTTTAGTTAGAAAATATATTTTATGAAAGTTAAATCATGCTTTGTTTTATTAAAACCTGAGCTATTCATGGGAAAACAAATCCACTTGTGAAGTGAAAATGTCATGTTGTCACATGCTTACGAAATTGCTACTGTATTGGTTTGTTATAAAGTAAAAATTACTGCAAAAATGCTTTTGAAAATGTTCAAGTGTTGTTTGTTATGGGATAGGAAATGCCGTATTGATTTGTTCAGTTTTAAGAGTCTAACGGCAATCCTGAATATAGGCATGCTTGCTTTGTGAAATTCTGTGGTGATATGGCATATAAATAAAAATATCTTAAAATTTTTACCATTGCCTCTCTCCGAAATATGGCTTAAAACTATCCTTATTAGTCAACCTTCATGGAAAAGTTAGTGGGTATGCTGGGAAAAATGCGCGCGGCACTTTTTTGGACACTGAAGATTGTAGCATTTGATGTTGTCATATATTGCCATCCTCTTATCATAGCATAACTTAACTTATTTTAGTGAGTTTGTTAAAGCATGCCTGTAGTATCTAAGACTTTTTCATAGCATTATATATGACAAATTTAAGTTCTGTTTTCTTTTATTTTTAGGTGATAGTATCTGTTCACTTGAGTGTTGGTGTCAAATTTTGGACAAGTTTCAATTATTATTTCACATTCCTTTACTCAAATATACAAATAAATGGAATATGACATCAAACTGGACGACTAGATTCTGTTTCCAAACTTGTTTTTGTAAAAATAGAAAATAACAACTTATTATGTGTTGTTCTATTAATAAAAACTATTGTTTTTGATCTGCATATTTAATTTTTAAAATTACAGTCATTCTTTGCTAAAATGTGTACCAGGAATACTGAAATCTTTCAGATCAGCTGCCAATTCCCTTTATAACATATGTAGCCAAGTGTTCTATCAATTTTTGTTCAGATTAAACAAATGATTGGTATAAAATATTAGTTTAGATTCTTTAAAAAAAAATGAGCTTGCCTATTTTGAAAGCATAAAAAGCAATAAAATAAAGCAAAAGTACTAGCTTATTTTTAATTTAAAACCTTTGGATTGCATAGCTTAATGTTTTTCATTAAATATTACACAGTTTTTGTTCATTGTGAAATGTTGTTTTATCAGCTTTAAAACCAGATAAATCCACGAAGCACTCCTATAAATATATGTCGCCATATTGATTTTATCGCGCATGCTCCGTACAAAATTCCCAGCTGTTACTGTAAGCAATAAAGATATAAAAGCAATTACGTGACAAAAAATAAACCAATCAGATGCATGGATTGATTTATTTGGATTGGTCAAAAGAAAGTATAAACAATAATGTAAACCACATTACAGAATATATTAATAAATACAATTAAACAGAAAACACAGCATGTACAACAAAATATATGAAACAAGTGTGGAATAAGATAAGAATTAAGGAATGCTTATAAATTGACGGTAAATATAATGTTGTGGGACTTACCATTTTATTCCGGAAATTATGTATAATTATAATAATATATTCTGTAACGCGATTTACATAATTTTTGGTTTGTACTGTGTTTTGACTAAATCCATGTGATTGGTGGTTTATTTTTTGTTATGTGATTTTATATTCTTAGTATGTTAAAAGCTCATGGTTATTGTTCCGACCCCAGGTAGTAACTCCAGACGAAGGACCTTCGCTCGAAACGTCGAAGTTCCCCTTATATATTTTCAGTTAGTTGCATCCCTACCAACGAGACTTTGTTTATTTTATTGGCACTACCTACACTGGCAAAGACAGTTCACAATTGCATTTAAAATATCTTGCAAGTGTTATGTGTATAATATATCTTTCTGTTAAAGCTAATTTTGTTGATAATTTGTTTATCTTGGCCTATTCATTAAAAGCTTAGCTAATTGGAGCTAACTTGATTTATCATTTGCTATGATCTTTGTCAAGTCATATAAATATCAATGATTGGAATTGAGACTCTCTATAATTTCTGACAATGTCATTATTTTATAGGTGACTCCTGATAACTGGAAAGTTCGAAACTTGGCTCAAATAA